ATGAAGATGCAACACCACTAGCCAGCCTTCTCTCTAGTTTTCTTCTTCCTCCCATGTTTTGGCTACTAACTCCTCACTGCTTTGTCTGTCTCTAGTACGTAACACAAGGAAATTTTTATATTTTGCCTAGCTCTTCTAGTTGTGCTTGCCGAAAGGCTTGCCTTAATCTCTTTATCCTCATTTGCCACAAGTTCTCTATGTGAACTTTTAAGAATAAATTGCCTAGTTGCACACAAGCAACTCATTTTTGTTTGAGGTCTTTTTCAATATACGGTTTAATTCAGACAGAACTGTCCTTATTACAACATTAGGCTTCCCCTTCAAAAATGTCCTGCCTATTACCCACACCTTCAGTCTCCCCTCTTAAAATGTTTTATAGGCCCTGTATATGTCTTAAATTTATTCCTAGGGATCATATTTTTTCCCTAGTGCAAATTGGGCCTTTTCTTTTTTTTACTCACTGTAGTTTTTATACCCATGAAACAAATTTATTGGTTTTATGTGGTATTTTTTATTACCAGAGGCCTTGCTGAATTCTTGTCTTATTTCTAGAAGTTCCCCTTGAGGTGAGTTTTATTAACTGATTAGGATCTGGAACGGGGAGAGTGCACAGGCTGGGTCTTGGTGACCAAAACTGCACATGGCCAGAAGACAGAGACTGATAAGTAAGCTGTGCAGTGCTTTCCTGATCCCGGAACGATGATGGGTATATCACCGTGTGTGTGCCTGTGCGTGTGCGTACATGTGTGTGAGAGCACACTCGTGCACATCCCTGGCACCAGGGCAATTCTGAGGCCAGGGGGAATTTCTAAAGGACCTTGAAACAGGCTAATCAGAGTAGAACAGGATACTTTCTACCATGACATTCAATATCAGGAAAACTTTACTTGTGCTGAGATTTAGAGGACAGTGGGAGGTCCTACTCAGGGGCAGAGAATGCCAAGGCCAGGCCAGCCGGACGTAAAAATCAGTGCTGACCCTGCTCCACTGTGGGCAGACTGCTGAGAGCCCTTTTGACTCTTCAGATACGTGGCACCAGGACACCTGAGTAAAGAAATGCTACTTCACCTTAAAGAAAAAAATCAAGGGGGCTGGGGATTTAGCTCAGCGGCAAAAGCGCCTGCCTGGCAAGTGCAAGGTCGTGAGCTCGGTTCCCGGTACCGGAGAAAAACCAAAAAAGAAAAAAATCAAGAGAATCTCTTTTACTTACAAAGGCCCTGTATCCATGGAGACGTTGACATGTGCACTGATTCTCAAATCTTTCTGGACTTTAGGGTTGCAGGCTTGGCTGAAATCACCCAGGAAGATCCTCCCTGGAACTATTTCAATAGGATAGGGCTGGAACTCATCCAGTTCCTGGGGTGGGGAAGAAAAAGGGCTGTTAGGAGCACAGACCTTGTCTCTTGAAATGTGGCTCCACACACAAGCTTAGAAGCAGAATACCAGGACAGTGAATGAGGCTGAGTGCAGGTCTTTCAAAGAGATTGGGAAAGAAAAACTTGAACGAGGAACGAGAGAAGCTCAGAGCAGAAAGGCAGACACAGCCTCACAGTGCAGGGCTGGGTCTCAGCGATGACAACTGCTTCCCTCCTCGGCACCTCTCTGTACCCTCTCCGTGCACAAATGCTGGAGTCGAGGACTCTGTGGCCCACGCTTTCAACAACCCAGAATGTGTCCCCTTGGGAGTGAGGCGGGATGGGGAGGATCAGTCCTTTTGTTGCCATGGAGGGCATCAGTATTTAAATACGTGAAAAACACACAGTAAAACTCTTCACACACAGCCTATTTGCCAGTAGGAAATGAATTCTAGTGAAGAGGTGGTGACAACAGGACAACCACTTAACTACAAGCACACTGAAGTCCTAGTGTACCACCCCACTGCTGGCAGGCAAGCCCAACACCCATCAGGGAGCCCGGGCTGACCCCACCCTGGGTGCCCAGCTTGCTAGAGTCATGTGACTCATCATGGTTCCACTGGGGAAAACATTTCAGTAAATGTCCACAACACATCTATCAACTTTCTTCCTGCTGTATTGGTGATCTGCTTTCTGTTCTGCCATTGGGCAGGTTTGGCTGGGTAGAGGGTGTGGCATGGATAGAGACAGTGTCTTCTCAAGGCGCCTGCTTTGGCAATGACAGGAGACACAATAGAAGCAAAACGGTATCCCAACAAACAGGTCCAAATTGAGACTTCTTTTCTCACAAGTGCTTCCTCAGGCCAGGATTTCCCACCCCAATGAACCACACCACTGCCTGCCTGTTACCAACACCAAAACCAGGGCCTCACTCGAATCCCCTCCCTCTCCCACCCCTTCATATCTGGTCAGCGTTATGTCCCAAACAGTGCTTGGACCTGTCCTCCCTGCTCCACTCCTGCTTCCTAGCTGGGTCCCCCAAATCTACTCAGTCCCAATGATCCACTCCCCATGCTGCAATCCACCTTGGTCTTCCTAACGTGCAATCTGACCATGCCACGCTCTCCTAAGCACCGTTCAGTGATTCACCATTATCTGCCTGGAGCAGGGGACTGCAGACATGCAGCAGGCCACAGCCCCTCTGCTCAAAGGGAGATCTTGCTGAGGGAAAGCCCCCTGCAAGACATGGGAAAGTATAATCTTCTCCCATCTAATATAGAGAGGGGCCTTTATAGAAGCAGCTACTTGGGGAGCAGTTGGGACACCCCGACTTTATGGTATATAAGAACATGTAGCAGAAGAAGAGTGGAGACTTTCCCCTTGCCCCTGGATTGACGTCAAAGGTCCCTAGCAGGGAGAGACAAATGCTAAGTCCTATATGCTCAGGACAGACTCTTGCCCGCCCAGCCCTCCGGCTGGTATCAGCCACAACCTCCTCTCTTCTGTACCACCTGGGGCTGGGGGCAAGGGGTAGGGAAAGCCATGTGTACCCACACATCAGAACTCGCCACCCTGCCCCGCAAACACACGCAGTTCATCTTACATCCCTCACACCTCACTGGAGCTTTAAATAAGGTGTGGAGGTGACAACTTAGCAGCAGAGTAATGTTGGCAGAGAGAAATTACCGCCACCGCAGCCTGCAAAGCTAGCGGCCAGGGGGTGGGGTCCTCCAGGAACAAGGAGCAGCCCTGGTAGGACAGGGAGGATGGCTGGACATCTGTCAAGTTGAAGTCCTAAATGCTGCTTTCTTAGTGCAAGGAGGGGGAAGTCCTCGGAAAGCCTAGCATGTGCGCCCTGGATTTAGGAACAGGTGACTTCAGACACAAGGCCCTGCCTTATCCCACAGCTAGCAGGCCACAGCGATGCTTGGGAGGTCTCTGAGTCCCTTCTCTGCCAGCACACTTCCTGCAGACCATCTAGGACGTGGGAGAGGGAATGTGGACATGGTAGGGCTCAGAACCACCCAGTGCTGGGGAGATTTTTAGAGACTCCTGCAAGGCGGTGGAAAGAATCTGGCTTAGCTCACTCCAGGAGAACCTCAGCAGTGGAAGGGGCCAAGGTGAGGCTGAGCAGGACCCCAAGAAACCCAGCAGCAGAGGCCACCAGCAGCGCCAGCAGCAGTACCCTAAACAGACGGTTGGGACACCACCCTGTACCACCCTCCCTCCCACCCCCCACCGCCAGGGACGCAAGACGGGGCCTACACTAGGCACCCTGACATCTAAGGGGGTTGAAGAAAGATCAGAGCAACATCCTTCCCGCATGACATCTGAAGTGATCCCGAACACCTCCTCATACCCAGGACCCCAACAAAATAAGGTTTCCCAGTTCCAGAGGATGGGAAGAGATGAGATTTGAGACTGACATGTTAAACTGCTCTGGCTTTTACTGCAATTCTTTTTTATTTGTTCCCTTTATTTAAAATAATTTCGGGCAGAGGATATAGCTCAGCGACATAAGTGCTTCCCTGGTAAGCCTGAGGTCATGAGTTCGATTCCTGGTACCAAAACAAAAAAAATAAAATAAAATAATTTCAAAAATATATAAAAGTAGAAAGACTAACATATGAAGTACTTCTATTACCCAGCTTTAAACATTATAGACTCAGAGCCAATTTTATTTTATCTCTACCCTTCTGGCTCCCCGACCCACGCTTGTTTATTTTGAAGGAAATCCTAAGCAGAATTGCACGCATATATATTTCACTCTAGTCACATTTCCTTCAATCATCATACACTGACTTAGACTGAAATTTTTTATAGCTGAACATTTCCAGGAAATACAGGATCTGCCCAAGATGTAGCTATGAGCAAGAACCAAAGAACAGCCCAAGGAACATGTTAGAAAAAACAAAAACATTTTGTGCTTATATCCCATTGCGCTTCCAACTCTTTGGTACAGCACATACACATGAGCACACGTACACACACACACACACACACACACACACTGCCCTCCAGGTACAGCCCTGCCTGCAAACCAGTGTGCAGCCAATACCTGGGCTTCCTCAAAAATGCCTTGCCCTTCAGGGACCTGGAATGTCCTTGGCCAACACCCTTATTATAACCACTTTCTTTCCTATAGACCAACAGCTCCGTGGGCAGGAACTGTTATCTCACCCTTTTCTGGATCCCCTGGACCCAGCTAGGGTTTCGAGACCCAGACAGCCAAGAGTGGAGAGGGACTCTCGAGCCACAATGCCCTGTCCGTCTGCCCTGGGATACAGCTCCCATCCACAACTCACCCTAGGATACCTTCACCATAACCTGACAGCCATGAATTCATCATCATGAACTGAACCCCCTGGCTGGCCCCTGGCCGCCCCATCTCCTCCATCTGCTGCACACCCTCCATCCCCTTCTCTGCTCTCCAGCCTCTTCGTCCGCAGCCACACTTCCCAACTGAGCCAGCTTGTGCTCAGCCTCTGGTCTCACCTGGGGCATCCAGATGATCTTCTGGGTCCGGAAGAAGTGATACAGGCCGGAGAAGCGCTCATAGCCCCCTCTCAGGATGTACACAGGGTGGTGAGTGAACTGGGTAAGGATTTTGCCGAACTCCACAGCCGGGCGGGACACCAGATCTAAGGGTGGAGACCAAAGCGGTAAATGCCCCTTGCGCTCCACATCTGTGTAGCGCTGGTATGTAGACAGCCACTTCCTCTGAAAAGGGATTATTTAGGAAGCTGAAGCAAGGGTAAATAGAGAAATAGGCTACAGTTAAATTTTTTGTTTATTTGTTTGTTCGTTTGTTTTTGTACCGGAAATTGAACTCACGACCTCACACTTGCTCGCAGGCACTGTACCACTGAGCTATATCCCCGACAGGTTTTGAGATGTCCGGAGAGGCCGCATGTGGACCGGGCTAAGAGAGAAGCTGAAGTTAAATTTTTTAAAAATTACCAAGTGGATTTTTTGACAGATAGTTGTATAGCAAACACCCATTTAAAGGATATAACTCAGTGATTTTTTAGTCTATTCACTGAGTTGTATAACCATCATTACAGTCAATTTTAGAACATTTTTATCATCCTCAAAAGAAACTCCCTTCCAGTGAACAGGCACTTCTCCATTAAATTCCCAGCTCTAGGTATTCCAAGCTCTAATCACCTGATTTCACTATGGATTTACCTATTCTGGGCACTTCATAGAAATAGAACCATATCATTATTATGTGACATTCTGTGTCTATCAGGCACCATAATCTCCTTGGTGTTCAGCTCTGTCTCAGCTTGTATCAACACTTCTCTCCTTTTTGTGGCTGAATAATATTCCCCATGTGGCTTTACCACCCTGTTTAACCCAATCTGCTGATAGACATTTATGTTGTTTCCACTTCGGGCTGTTGTGATAACGCCACTATGAACACGGCACAAGTTTCATGAGGATGCGTTTTCCTTTCTTTTGGGTGCATACCTTAACCCTCTGAGGAAACACCAAACTGTTTTCTGCAGTGGCTTCACCATTTTACATTCCAAGTGGTCATACACAAGGTTCCAATTCCTCCTGATTGTGCCAAGACCAGTTACCATCTGTCTTATTATGGCATCCCAGAGGGTATGGAGCAGTATCCCATTGCGATGTTGACAGCAATTTAACCTTAAACACTACTGCTGATCCGCAGCATGATCATCAGAACACATGTTAACCAGACCTCTATGACAAGAGGTCTGTATAATTAAGGCTAAGCCAAGATACCCTGATCCAAGATCTGACCCAGAAAGAGGAATATTGGGATAGCAGCCTCAGTGGGAACCAGTGGACCTGACTTCTACATTACACTTTGTTCAGGAAGGCAAGGCTGCTTCCTGCAGGTTTTGGGATGTCTGGAGAGGCCGCGTGTGGACTGGGCTAAGAGAGAAGCTGAAGGTGTCAAGAGAGGAGCCAAAGCCCTGTCTGGGCCTGGCTCAGTCATCTCAGAGTCCAGCAATGGGTCACCAGCGTCTGCTGCGTCCCTTCTGAGCAAGAGACAGGGTTTCAAGGCCGTACTGTCACGGCCTTCCCCACCACTGCCTCCCGCACTGCTGCCTCAAGCCTGCTGGCGGGAAGGAAGAAGGACAACTGCCAAGGGACAGTCAGGGACCCTGCAGAGCACAGGCTGGTCAGGCTCCACTTTCTGAGAAGAGGACACGCTTCAACCACATTCACGATGGACAAGTGGAGGTTTTCTGATGGAAGGTGGTCCCGCAACTAATATTTCTTTCTTTTGGAACCAGGAATCGAACTTAGGACCTCACACTTTCTAGGCAGGCACTGTGCCACTGAGCTATACGCCCAGGCCCATGCAGTTAATGTTTCTGAAAGGTTAAATCCACGGCTCTTCAGTTCTCAGCATGAGTTTCCCACACTCCGAACTGGGATACTTACTTCTTCAAGAGGAGGGGACATTGCTTAGAACCAGGGGTCCCATAACAGATTCTGAAATTCCCTAGACCTTCTCCTTATCCTTTTTATAAAAGGCCATTTTATTATACATTTTCTGTAGATCTTACTCTCAAATTTTACTGCGATTCCAATTCAATTGTTTTTTACCTCAGGGATGAAATACTTCCCCCATGCTTGCGTTCACCACAGCCCTAATTAAACTCCCCTCCCCTTACCCAAGACCTTTGACCCAGTTCCTATGACTGGCAGCTTCACTCAACCAGTCCAGATCACCTTTACAAAACCTTAATATTGATTCATTCCTTCCTAAACTGCTCCGGTCCTAGCCTAGCCAAGATTGCTGGCTCTTTCCATTTCCACGTCAGTAGCAACCTATATGGCCACTCCAGTCCCTCTGCAGGTCTGGATTTCTGTGTCTTCTCCTCCAGTTTTTTGTTTGCTTGTTTTGTTTTGTTCGTTTGTCTGTTTGTTTTGAGACAGGGTCACACTATGTAGTTCGGGATGGCGTTGAACTTGCTCTGTAGCCCGGGCTGGCCTCAAACTCAAAGCAATCCTCCTGCCTCAGCCTCCCACGTGCTGGGTTCTCTCAATTTTTACAGGATTGTATATAAGCAATTAGCAACAGATGCTGCTGCTGACTTCTCTTTGGTACAGCCCTGTTCCTCAAGATTTCTCTCCCACTAGGTTACCCATGTGACATGCAAGAAAAAGCCATGAGACCCAAGGTCTATTTTTTTTTCTTCTTTTCTTTTATAATAACTAAAAGATGGGAATGTAAGGTTCGAATCAGACCTGACTCCCCCAGCCCCCAGCCTGCTGGCCAGCAGAAGCATTACTTTCTGCAGGAAACTCAGCTCTCAGCAGGGAACTTAGCTCAATTCCCTGTCATGACAAGTACAAGAAAGGAGATAAGATAGCACAAGGAATTTTGCAACTCCTGGGACATCTGGAGAAACCTGAGAATTTACATCAGACACTTCAAGGACTCTGCCTATTGAGATGCAAGACTGCCAGAGAACTTTGACCGCAGATGGTTATTGGGGTCTTCCCACCTAATGCCCCCTGCCTTCTCTCCATCCCTATAAACAGGGACACACTTTGTTCACAGCATAGGTTTTATCACACTCTCTGCCTGCATCCAGGCGCAATAAGTTCGAGGCCATGTTGCCTTTACACAAGCCTGGTGGTCTCTGCTAGTTTTTCCCCTTCTCCTATATGTTAAGAGGTCCCCGCGTGGGGATATGGAGTTTAAATTAAATCCCTTGGGTTCCTTAGCCAGCCAATGGTCATGAAAGTCACGCCCCACTGAGACAGGACGTCCCCAAAGCTCCCTTCCTGGGGCAAGAACCTGGCTTGAGGGCCTAAAATCTGTACTGCTGCAAGGGTGTGTGTGTGTGTGTGTGTGTGTGTGTGAGTGTGTATATGTGTGTGTTCCAAAAAAGACAGCAGCTGAGCAGGGCATGGTACACGCCTGTAATCCCAGCATTCTGGGAGGCTGAGGCAAGAAGATTACAATTTCAAGTCCTACCTGGGAAAGTTTGTGAGACCCTATCTCAATATAAAAAAAAAAATAAGACAGTCTGGGGATGTACCTCAGTGGTAAAGCGCCCCTGGGTTCAATCCTCAGAGAAGGAAGGAGAAAAGGCAGGGAGGAAGGGAGAGAAGAGAATGGAAGGAAAGGAAGAGAGGAAGGGGTGGAGGGGAAAAAGACACCAGCTGATAAAAACACCTGGGCAGAGCTCTTGCAACCAGCCAGTGCCCCACTTTTCCCTCGGAGCTCTGCAGCCTCCAGGCAAATGCAGTAGTGGTTGAGTACTGGAGGCCAGGGAGAGAAGCAGCAGGACCCAGGGCACCAGCAGCGCTGGAGGGCACACAGCCGGTGCAGGGGGCCATTCAAGACCTCCACTAGCCATGGTACTTCAGCCATGGTCATAGCAAGGACAGCGCCCCACGGTCAGTAAGGCAGGCAGGGAAGGACTCATGCACACACCCTGATACCTTATAACCTCACACGGCTTCTAGGGCGTGGTGAGGACCCCTCTGTGCCCAGTTCTTCTTGGGCAGAGGAGGCCGGTACTTCACAATGGCTCTCTGTTTCATTGTTAAGAAGGAGGTGGTGAAAGAGTCCCGGAAATGGTCTTGTACCCAAGGACCGCCTTCACCTGAAAGAGGCCATTGTACGTGAGGAAAGTTGCCTTGTGTGGTGTGTGTAGCTGTGGTTCCCTACTAAGTGGAGCGAGTTATAGAACAGAAAGGGGCTGCTTTCATTCACCACCTTCCCTAGGGTTTCAGGGTCCAGCCTGTAATCCTAGGACTGTAAACCAGAGCCCAAGGGGACATTTCCGGGCCAAAGAACTCCTGGGATGGATGGAATCCCAAAGGCTGGTTTCATCAGTGGCAGAAGCTTAGCGCCACCCAATGGCAAGAAGCGATCACACCCAATCTAAGCGCTGCAAAAACAGCAGAGCCTCGGAATTTTAGCTGAGCACCTCAAAACTGGCCATATTTTACAGCCCCAACCCAGAGCTGGGTTCCTCCCCAGTGTCACTGTCCAAGCTATGGGAGACCGGATTCCATCAGGCTGACTGGGGTTGGATCCGCAAATTCTTCTAAATGCTTTCCCTTGAAAGATCAGGCGGCCCGCCTTCCCCTTGAGGGTGGGCTGGATTTTGTGACCTACTTCTAATGACTGGTCTGTGGCAGTGGTAGTGACTACATGTGAAGTCCTGGGGCCAGGTCATGAAGAAACATGCCTGCCCTGAGGACCCCACTGGCTCACTTTTGGGGAAACAAGCCACTATGCTGGGGGGTGCCCTTCGAGCAATCCCATGGGGAGGTCCTTATGGCGGGGAGCTGAGGTCTCCAGCAACCAGCAGAATGAAATCAGGGGCCTCCTGGCTGTAGCCATAGAGTGAGTCATTTTAGATTGAGGTCATCCTGGCCCAGACCTTCACTGACAGCAGCCTGGGGTTGATATTTTGATTCCAAGACAAACCTTGCACCTCCCAGTTGAGTGGCCATGAAAATAATAAGATAACGAACGTTTGTTTGCAGCTGCTGAGTTCTGGGTGATCTGTTACACAGCAATGGAGAACTTAGTCACTTAGTGCGGGGTCTGGGGTGAGTTACTGCACCTTCCTGAACCCCAGTTTCCTCATCTATAAAGTAGCAGTGATGGTACCTGTTAGGAGACGGTTCTCCTTGGCCTCTCATATTTCCACACGCCCTGTGAAGACAGCCCTGGCTGCCTTATCTGCACCATCCCCCCAGAAGATCTGTGTAACAGGCTTGCATGACAGGATATCCTCCCTTCCCTCGGCTCAGCGTCCTTTTCTTGTAATGCAACCCGCTGTGGGTATCACCTGGCCCTTTCCACGTGACCCTGTGAGGCTGGGGCTTAGGGAACCAGTGCAGGAGACTAAGAACATTCTGGCTCCTTCTGCTGCTCTGAGTGAAGCTCAGAGTCCTTTGTCTCTGACCCAGGAGTCTCCTGTCTCAGTCAGTGGCAGGTTAGTGTCCTGCAAGGAAGTGACACATCTGGGGTCGCAGCTCTGGCACAGGTAACAGCGTTTGGTAACTATAGTAAAAACCCACCTCGGTCACGCTCGTTAGAGTTGTCCTCGTCATCCTCTTCCTCATCAGCCGTGGCATGTCTTACAAACATCTCCATGGAGCTAGTGTTGTTATCATAGACCACACAGTATTTCACACACTCCAGATCCACAGATTCCGGAATGAGGTATTCACTGCCCTCCTAAGGAAAGCACACAGACACGCGCTGGCAGACGGTGTGGCGGAGAATGTGCTCCCAGCACGGGACATCAGAAGGCTTTTGAGGCAAAGACCAGTCTTTTGTGTTCCTTCCCCTGACAACCCAAAGGGTGGAAACACCAAGGATGGCCAGGACAGGGCTGGCTCCGGGGTAGGTGCTTGACCAAAGAGCAGGTGGCCTACTGATGAGCTCACAAGCTCTTGGATGCCCTGGTGTCAAAATAACCATGCCCAGCTAAATCCTGACATCCTGTCTCCTGGAGAGGGACCAAACCTCAATCTCTCATAAGCGTGTAGTAAGCAAAAGGGGTGGGTAAGCAGAAGTCATGAGCAAGCAGATGTCACTGGAGGACTTTGAGATTTAACATAAGCCCTACAAGAGCAGGGACATGAGTCTCTGTCAGTCACTGATGTACCCTGAGCTTCTAGACAGTGTCCAGTGCATGGTAGGCCATGAAGATGGTTAAATGAATGAATGGCAAAGAGGCCTTGAGGCAGAGAGGAGTTAGTGAGTGGTAGTTGGGGAGTGGCTGAGTCCCCAGATGTGGATCACAGGGCAAGAAAAAGAGATGCTGACTACTGAGGTGATGGTGTTATCTAGAAAGAAGGGGGTTACTTAAGAGAGGGAATGACGTTACCTGAGAAGGGTGACATCACCTGGGAAATGGGATGAGGTCACCCAGGGAAGGGACGATGTCGCCTAGGGAGGGGATGTGATCTCACAGTACTTGAACTACTCAAGACCCTAATAGGTGCTTTGGAACCTGAGGAGCCTCGCAGGACAACCTCTGAGAGTCCCCAGTTGCTCACAGTGCTCCCCATAAGCCTCCATGGCCAAGGGAAGCCTGAGCTGACACTGTCCCTTGCAACCTGGCCTAGCTGACTTGGAGGCCCCAACCAACAAGAAATGCCTAAGTCAGCCTGCAGGACCAGAAGGGCGACACAAGGCAGGAGGCATCTGAGACCCTCTGGAAAGGCATCAACGGGACGAGCACTGTGAAGCTCACCAGGCAGGAGGAGTGGCTTTTCGCCACTTATTATAGCCAGTGGATACATACTGAGCATTTACCACGTGGCAGGGACCGGGTGAGCCTTTGCGATACAGTGGCCAGCAAAGCAAACAGATCACTGTGCTCACAGCAGAAGCCCTGTGGCCCAAGACAGTGGTGTGTACGGGGGCCACAGAGACCAGATTGTAAACATCATGGATGTAAGACCTGCCACCAATTTAACCAGGGCAGAAACAGGACTGCCCACAAAAGGAGAGACTTACTGGCATATTTCACTAGATACCCTGGGGAATATGTTCTGAGACACCGTCACCCTGTGGATGCCTGAATCCACAGATAGTACCAAACCCTATATAGACTACATTTTTTTTCTACACATACATACCTATGGTAAAGTTTAATTTATAAATTACTCACAGTAAGAAAACTTCCAAATTCTACCGCCTGCTTGGAAAGACATGCCCTTCTCTAATTCCAATTCTAATTGGCTCACTTTCATTCCAGACCCAGAGCCAATCTCTGAGGCCAGAGATCTGGCTGGTATTTTAGGGAATACCAACAAAATTTCATGGATTAAGCAAGAAGGAAAGTTCCCCTCAAGAAGGGGTGTGGCCAGGAAAACAACATATATCTGCTACGACCACTTTGGGGGACAAAAAAGGCAGGCAGATGTGATGGCATATGCCTGTAATCCCAGTGCTCTGAGAGGCTGAGGCAGGAGGGCAACTCAGAGACTTAGTGAGACTCTGTCTCAAAATTTAAAAAATAATAAGAGAAAGGCTGGGAAGCTGGACCCCACCACTTGGGGGGTTGAGGCAGGAGGACTGTCATGGGTTCAAGGCTAGCGTGGACTATGCAGCGAGTTCAAGATCAGCCTGAACTGCATAGCGAGACTGTCTCAAAAAAACAAAGAAAAAGAATAAAAAAGAAATGCTAAGGATGTAGCTCAGTGCAAAAGCTCTGAGTTCAATCCCCAGTACTGCTTTAAAAAAGAAAAAAAGTACAAATTGATTTAGGATATGGTGTTCTAATTACAAAAAAACCTTAAACTATGAGGGAAGTGTGTACAAGGAGAAATGGCAGGGCAATATTATCGGGGTGCTGGCTGACAGTAAAAACATGTCAGAGCTGGAGTCTGAGAGGGAAGCTCAGATCCAAGAAGGCTGTGAACCCTGAGTTGTAAAGCTTCACGTCCTGCAGGGGTAGGGAGTCCCGAGGGCCTCAGTGGCTAACTAGAAGGTCAGGGAAGGTAGGCAAAAGGGACCGGCCTGGCTGAGAGGTTCTGAGGGGCTGAGGCAGAGGGACTGTCTGCTTCCTACACCTGGGATTGCTGCCAGAATCCAAGGCACACAGATTGGAGAACTGAGCTGCGAACAAGGCCCAGGCATCACAGAGGGCTCAGAATGGGGCGGGGGCGAGAGCAGAGAAAGGCCTGAAATGAGGGTTAAGAACTCAAGTATAGAGCCAGAAAATTGAAAACTTAGGGAGAAATACAACAGAAAATGAGGATGAGGAAGAGGGCATTAGGTAGTAAGTTTATTCTGGAAAAATACTTAAGCCAGGACCCAGGGCCCCTGCTGAGTTACGTGCAGAAAAAGAGCCAGAGGTAGAGTGCACACAGCTCAGAGCTAAGGGGAATGGGGAGGAGGGAATTTTCAGGAGTAGATTTCAAAAGCAAACTTGACAGGACCCCTCACTGCATGTGGATAGCTGAAGCTACAACCTTGAGAGGAATCTCACAAGAAAGATCTCTCCTGAAAGGAGAGATCAAGAGCAGCAGATATCTTCAGGCAGCAGCAGAAGAAAATAAAGCTGAACCAAAGAGACAGACAAGGCCAGGGATATAGCTCAGTGGCACAAATGCCTGCCTGGCAAGCACAAGGTCCTGAGTTCAATTCCTGGTACCAAAAAAACAACAACAAAAGGACAGAGGAAAAACTCAGAAAGTAGGTAAGATGCTCAAAGCCAGGGGCAGACTGCTGCCAGGACTGCAGAGGTTAGAGACCCATGTGGCTGTGAGCCCTTTGGGAGGACGCCCTGCAGGGCGGAGAAAGGGGCCTGACTGTAGAGGGTAGAAAGTGCCTGGATGCAGGGCTCTGTCCACGCGCCCGGAATGGAGGAAGGCAATGAGAGGGAAGGAAGAGAAGAAAAAGAGCAGCTTTTTTTTTTAAGTATAGTAAACACCTCTGTGGTTTAGGGTCTGCTCGCCCAGGAGAACAGACGTTCCATGAGGATGGGGACACTGGGCTAAGGGCATTGCTGGGTACCCCTGGGGTACCCGTGGGGCCTGGCACAGCAAGGAATGACCTCAGTATTCGCTGTGGTGGGGGTGGGGACAACTTAAGGAGCGTAGGGGTGTGGACGCACAGACAACAGGCCTGCCCCTGCTGCCCGGTGTCCCAGGAGGAGCCGCTCCAGGGCGGAGCACACCTGCCGCTCCTGCCCACCCTCCTGCCCCGGGTCCTGAGGGTTCTGACTGGGCCGGTACCTTCTTCACGCGCAGGGCGGTAATCACGTGGCTCTCATCGTACTCCCGCTTGGAGCGAACATCTGAAAAGGAAAGGATTGCATTCAGAGCAGGAGTCACAAACGAACACACGTGCAAAGGACTCAGAGAACTCACTTGGTCATCAAGATACACTTGCTTGGCCAGTAGGTGACAGCTGCTATCCATGTAAACCCTGAAGTCTGCGGTCTCCTTACTGTGAGCTGTTCGCTCCGTAAACTCCCCGCCCATCGTACCTGTACCCACACACCCCGGTAAGGGGCCGTGAGACTTTGCATTTTTGAGTTAGGAGCAGGAGTTTTCTTGAGTTCTAAAGAAGAGAAACAGGAGAGATCTTGTAGGCAAAGACCTCACACTAAGGTGAAGATCTCACACTAAGGCAAAGCAAGCTCACACTAAGTGCCCCAGTGAATTTTAGGCCCCAGCTCAAACTCTGGAAAGCAAGAGCTGACATCCTGACCACGCCGGTACTAAGGCAAAAGGAGAGGTGGCCTTCCTCACAGTCGGGAAGAACATGGAACAGGAAATGAGCCTGCTGCGTAAATCTTTAAACCTGCAAGATCTCTCCCTTATTTGTGGCAAAAGGGACTTAAAATTTTCTACCCACCAGAGTGAGGTAAGAGGTTAAAAAAACTGTCCATAAAAAACTGAAACCAGGCCTGTTTTGTGCACAAAAACTTGTTGAGGATCACTGACATTTTGAGGGCTTAGAATAAATCACAAAACCTTTCTGTAGGGATACTGCCACAGCTCCTATGAAAAGATGGACTCACAAACAAAAAGTAAGAATCACATGCGTATGAGGAGTACAGAGACCCACACAGCCAACTTGACAATAAAGAAAAACATCCAACTTGGAGCACTAACACTGCCTAACCTCAGCACTCACGCACGGCTACACTGACCAATGCAGGGGTACTGGCATAAGAAGACAAACGGATCAAGGAACAAAGGGTCCAGAAGGAGACCACACAAATATAGTCAACTGGTCTCTGACAAAGGAGCAAAGGTAATACAGTGGAGAAAAAGTAGTCTTTTCAACCAGCGCTACTAGAACAACTGGTCATCCACAGGCAAAAGACACAGCCCTGACACCCATTACAAAAATTAACTCAAAAGGGGCTACAAATCTAAATGTAAAATGTAAAACAATAAGTCAAATCCCAGAACTCTGGAAGGCTGACACAGGATTATCACAAGGGCCCGGCCCAGGCAATTTAGCGGCTTAGCGAGACTCTGTCTCAGAATTTAAAAGTACAAAAGCCAGACAGAAGAAAAAGGGTGGGAATGTAGCTCAGTGCAAAGGCTCTGGGCTCCAACCTCAGTACTGGGGAGGAAGAAAAAAAATCCAATAAAATTCCTACAAGATAATATAGGAGAAAATCTAGGTAAGAGTCTAGCAATGACTTTTTAGATAAAACACAGCAAAGGCTCCAAACCATAAAAGAAATAATTGATGAGGTAGACTTTGTTAAAATGTAAAACTGCCAAGAGAATGAGAAGGGACGGGATGTAAAATAAACCCCACGTGACATGAACACTGACCACGCAGGAGATAACTTGTAGCGTAATAGCAGTCCCAGAATAAAAGCTGGAGCAGAACATTTTCTTCTTTGTTGTAAAAATGAGAGAAATTGAGCTGGGTGTAGGGGCACATGTCTGCAACTCAAAATGGATTAAAGACGTCAGTGTAACCCCTGAAACTGTAAAGCAACTAGAAGAAAACAGAGAGAGAAAGCACTTAATACTGGTCTGAGCAATGATTATTTTTTGAAAATGACACCCAAAGCACAGACCACAACAACAACAAAAATAGGAAATGAGATCGCATTAAACTGAAAAGCTTTGGCACCGCAAACAATCAAGAGTGAAAAGACAATCCACAGAATGGGGGGAGATATTTGCAAACCACATATCTGATAAGGGTATACGTGTCAAAATATATAAGGAACTCAATAGCAAAAAATCCAAGTAATACAACTTAGCAAACAGGCTAAGGACATGAATAGATATTCCTGAAAGCAAGACAAGCAAATCACCAATAAACATATGAGAAGCTGCTCAACATCACAAGCCAGGGACATGCAAAATCAAAACCAAAACAATGTTATCACTCATATCTATTAGAGTAGTTATAATCAAAAGGTAAGTGTTGGTGAGGATGTAGAGAAACGAACCCTTGTATGCAGTTGGGGGAACGTAAATAGGTAAAGCCATTATGAGAAGCAATACAGAAATTTTCCCCCAAAATTAGAACTAGCACTATGATATGATCCAGCAATCCCACTTCTGAGTACATAGGCAAAGGTAATTAAATTAATATCTCCATGATATATCAGTACTTCCACGTTCAATGCCATGTTACATTATTCTCAAGAGCCAACATACAAAAACAACCTAGGTTTGGGAGGCTGAGGCAGGAGGACCACAAGTCTGAGCCCAACCTGGGTAGCTTGATGACTTAGTGAGACCTTGTCTCAAAATAAAAAATAAAAAGGGCCTAAGTATGTGGCACAGTACGAAGTCCCTGTGTTCAACCTTCAGGGACTTCATACCGATTTAATCACCACCCAAAAAAAAAAAAAGGCTCCTACAAATCAATACCAAAAAAAAGGATAAATGGCCCAGTAGAAAAATGGAAAAATCGGGGCTGGGGATTTAGCTCAGTGGCAAAGCGCCTGCCTGGCAAGCGCAAGGTCGTGAGTTCGGTTCCTGGTACCAGAGAAAAACCAAAAAAAAAAAAGAAAAATGGAAAAATCAAGTGTGGCCATGCATGCCTGTAATCCCAGCACTCGGGAGACTGAGGCAGGAGTATTGTTGCAAGTTTGAGACCAGCCTGGGTTACAAAATGAGCTCAAGGCCAGCCTGAACTACATAGTGAGACCCTGTCTCAAAAAGACAAAAAAAAAAGAAAAATGGAGAAATATGAATAGATTCTTCACAGAATAGGGAAGTAGGGTGTCAATAAACATAAAAAGATGCCCAATCTTATTAACAATTATAGAAATGAAAATTAAAACATCATAATATAATTTTATATGATGCAGACTACAACAGGTATTAAAGGCTCGAAAGCCAGATATTAGAAAGTGTGCTTCTTAAAAAAAAACAGTGCTGGATGTGGTGGCACATGCCTGTAGTCCCAGCACTTGGAAGGCTGAGGCAGGAGGATCGTTGTGAGTTTGAGACCAGCCTGGCTACAAAGTGAGCTCAAGGCCAGCCTGAACTGCGTAGCAAGACCCTGTCCCAAAAACAATCCCCCACAAAAAAAAAAAAAAAATAGCAAGTGTGCTTCTTACACTGTTAGTGGGAGTAAAGTGACACAATCCCTTTGAAGGCCCATTTGATAAGTTAGTGAAGTTGAATTTGCCACTCGACAATCCCATGTCTAGGTACAGATCTTGAAGAAACTCTTGTACACAGGAATAAGGAAAGGTGTGCAAAGTTGCTCGCTGCAGCATTATTTGAAATAGCAACACAATGTGAGCAACATACTGCAATCAATTGGGAACAGGCACAAATTCCAATTAACAGTTAAAATAAATTAACTGAGTATCACACACAGACATGGGAAAACTCAAAAATATGTTTGTCAACAAAAACAAAATAAAAAGGCAGGCATAGGGGCACATACCTGTAATCCCAGACATGCACTCTGAGAGGCTGAGGCAGCAAGATCACAAGTATGAGCCCAGCCTGGACAGCTCTGCAATTTAGAGAGACCCTGTCTCAAAATAAGGAATAAAAAAGGACAGGTGTGTAGCTCAGTGCAAAGGCCCTGGTTTCAGTTCCAAGTACTCTAAACAAACACAGACGCAAAATGAATGGACATAACAGTAGTATTTGCATTAACGTTTAAACCTCTTGTTATTTTGGGATACCTGCTTATGTAGTAAAAATGTGAAAACACAGACGTAGTTCTCTTTGGGGAAAGAAAAATGCAATCATAATGAGATACAAAAGAGGGGTATATCTGTTTAAAATATTTTATTTCTTATGTCAAATCCGAGTAGAAGTACATGGGTGTCCATTAATACTTCTATGAGGGGCTGGGGATTTAGCCCAGCGGCACAGCACCTGCCTGGCAAGTGCAAGGTCGTGAGTTCAATTCCCGGTACCGAAAAAAAAAAATACTTCTGTGCATGCGATGTTGAAAATAGCTTATTAAAACAGTAAAAGAGGACAAGAACAGATCTTCTGGAAACTTCTGGAGCTAATCTGGGAAGATTCCCAAGTCATATACTATAACAGTAAAAAAGTAGCATTTGAGCCAACAAACCTAACAGCACTCTAAAGTGGTTAATCTGTCAAAAACAATGCTGTTTGTGTACTTGCTAGTGTACTTACCAAATAAGCAGAGATAGTTGGGTTCAGTTAATCTGGACAGTTTTGTGACCTGATTCAAGATGTTGTACAGCTCTGTTGGCTCACAAAAAACCAAATCAGCCATCCTAGTAGGAAGAATGAATAATGTACAAGTTTAACAGACCTCTTTCTAGTTAAGAAGAATGACGGCAAAATAGGATACTGAATTAAACACTTGCATGACATACATTCAAACTTAATAATATCAGGAAGTCTTCAAAAATTCATAGTGAAATGTGTACAGAATAAAATAAAATACTAAATACAGCATATGGAGCCACACAGAATGATCAAAAACACAGTGAATATTAAACCATTTTAAATGTATTATTGTAAAAGACACATTGCCATTAAACCCCCTCAATACACTCCACTTTGAACACACTTATCCCATTGTTGTCTGTTTGCTTGCTTGTTTTGGTACTGGGAATCAAACTCATGACCTCACACTTGCCAGGCAGGTGCTGTGCTGTTGAGCTGTATCCCTGGCCCACTTATCCCATTGCTGTTGCCACTTTTTTTTTTTTTTTTTTTTTTGCCTTTTTGAGACAGGGTCTCGCTATGCAGTTCAGGCTGGCCTTGAGCTCACTTTGT